GCCCTCACTTCCCCAGACTTCACCCTTGGCAATGGCTCCCCACAGCGCCTGCGCAGATAGAGTTGCCCAACAAGTGCCGCGCATGCGCACAGAGGACTTGTGGCGCGCACAGCCCCTTCGGGCCGAAACCTGCAGTCCTCTCCTCCTTCCTTCACCAGCCGAGGTCTTCAGAGCACCACACCTGAATCCCACCCAAACCAAGCCCACACACCTCAGTTCGCAGTCCAGGCAAGCTGGGACCAGAGTCTACGGACAGACCGGTCCTCCCTCTGACTAATGTTACTACACCCAGACGATCTGACGGCTTCTCCCTTCCCGAGTGCCAAAATTTCACACGTGCGCACGCAGAGAATGCAGGTGAACCCTCAAGATCCTGAGCACCGCACCGGCCACAGTGCAGAGGGACCCAGAGCAGGTGGGGATAAGGGACTGGACATCAAGGATCACCATGTGCAAAAGTCCTACTGTTCACTTCCAAGTTGGCGGTCTCCCTCCCCCGTGTGTACAGACAGTAATAGGGTGTGGAATTTCGCCAGGGGCAAACATCTCACAGATTTTTATTTTGTTTCTGTCCTCAACTTTTTTTTTTTAAGATTTTATTTATTATTCGACAGAGAGAGAATGAGAGAGAGAGAGAGCATGAGAGGGGGGAGGGTCAGAGGGAGAAGCAGGCTCCCCGCCGAGCAGGGAGCCCGATGCGGGGCTCGATCCCAGGACCCTGGGACCATGACCTGAGCCGAAGGCAGGCGCTTAACGACTGAGCCACCCAGGCGCCCCCATACACAGAAGTCTTAAGAGCCACATACTCACCATCCAGGCCCATTACAAGTTTATTAAATGCCCTACAACACATGTCTGTACCTACAGGTGTTGCCTGCAGACCCCAAGTGGAGACTACTGTTGTCCCTATGAGTATGTATTCCCTTGCTCATCTTTATGTTACTGCCTTTGCATAAATCCCCAAATATATTTCTTTTTTTTTTTTTTTAAGATTTTATTTATTTGAGAGAGAGCATGAGAGGGGGGAGGGTCAGAGAGAGAAGCAGACTCCCTGCCGAGCAGGGAGTCCGATGAGGGACTCGATCCCGGGACTCCAGGATCATGACCTGAGCCGAAGGCAGACGCTTAACGACTGAGCCACCCAGGCGCCCCCATACACAGAAGTCTTAAGAGCCACATACTCACCATCCAGGCCCATTACAAGTTTATTAAATGCCCTACAACACATGTCTGTACCTACAGGTGTTGCCTGCAGACCCCAAGTGGAGACTACTGTTGTCCCTATGAGTATGTATTCCCTTGCTCATCTTTATGTTACTGCCTTTGCATAAATCCCCAAATATATTTCTTTTTTTTTTTTTTAAGATTTTATTTATTTGAGAGAGAGCACATGAGAGGGAGGAGGGTCAGAGAGAGAAGCAGACTCCCTGCCGAGCAGGGAGTCCGATGAGGGACTCGATCCCGGGACTCCAGGATCATGACCTGAGCCGAAGGCAGACGCTTAACGACTGAGCCACCCAGGCGCCCCCATACACAGAAGTCTTAAGAGCCACATACTCACCATCCAGGCCCATTACAAGTTTATTAAATGCCCTACAATACATGTCTGTATCTACAGGTGTTGCCTGCAGACCCCAAGTGGAGACTACTGTTGTCCCTATGAGTATGTATTCCCTTGCTCATCTTTATGTTACTGCCTTTGCATAAATCCCCAAATATATTTCTTTTTTTTTTTTTTTTAAGATTTTATTTATTTGAGAGAGAGCACATGAGAGGGAGGAGGGTCAGAGAGAGAAGCAGACTCCCTGCCGAGCAGGGAGTCCGATGAGGGACTCGATCCCGGGACTCCAGGATCATGACCTGAGCCGAAGGCAGACGCTTAACGACTGAGCCACCCAGGCGCCCCCATACACAGAAGTCTTAAGAGCCACATACTCACCATCCAGGCCCATTACAAGTTTATTAAATGCCCTACAATACATGTCTGTACCTACAGGTGTTGCCTGCAGACCCCAAGTGGAGACTACTGTTGTCCCTATGAGTATGTATTCCCTTGCTCATCTTTATGTTACTGCCTTTGCATAAATCCCCAAATATATTTCTTTTTTTTTTTTTTAAGATTTTATTTATTTGAGAGAGAGCACATGAGAGGGAGGAGGGTCAGAGGGAGAAGCAGACTCCCTGCTGAGCAGGGAGCCCGATGCGGGACTCGATCCTGGGACTCCAGGATCATGACCTGAGCCGAAGGCAGTCGCTTAACCGACTGAGCCACCCAGGCGCCCCTCTGTCCTCAACGTTTTTGACACGGTGCTAATAGTTATATTCAGTACATGAAAAGATACTACTATGTTGAAAGCGTTTTAGGAAATTTTGACAGTATTTTTGTGCAAAACATTTTTTTTGAAAAAATACTTGTTAATTTATTCTATTTTAATTTGCCAATGTCAATAAAAAGTTCAGAGAAAAAAAAAAGGATCGCCCTGTGCAATATGAACGCATGAGGTGCCCATCAATCCCACCTCTCCAGCAGACCTTCTGACATCCTAGTTCCGGATTCATTTTTCGGGGCTAACACTATGAGCATAAACCTCAGCTGCCCCAGAATTCTCATCAGAAATAGTACTTTTGCCTAAATGGGGTTTGCAGACTCTAACACAGAATTTTCATTTCAGATTCTGTAGAAAACGAGCTCAGACCACGAAACTGCCCTCCACGGCTCCACTGTCAGTCCCCGTGCCTCCCTTCTCAGAACAGCTCAGAGAACAGAGTTCCTGGCAGCTCCACCTGGGTGGCCCAAACTGGCATTCACACCTTCCTGAGGCTCAGACTTAGATAAAGCAGAGTAAAGGACTAAAAATTCAGGGAGTCAGTTTCACATGTCTGGTTGAAACAATGCTTCCAAGGTAACACATAACATCCCACCTTCCATTCCTGAGATGTCCACTCATAGTCCACACATTAAAATTAACCAAATACATAAATGCAAATGATTGATGAATCAAATTTCACTCAGAGCCTCTAATCCACCCTTCCTTTCTATGTCTGCTCTCTATATTTGTGCTATCATGACATTATTTTTAAGGTTAATGATAACGAAAAAGAAGAGAAACAATCTCTACAATCCCAGGGAGGCACACCCAGCATCTAAATCCTCCTGGGAAAAATGAACATATAGTACCCAGTTCCCAGGGCTTTAGTAAGATTAAAATGCATAATGTATGCAAGATTCCCAGCACAGTATCCTGGACACAGTGCATCCTCATATACCTGGAGTATGTAGTAGATGCTCAAAAAACATTCCGTTCATGAATGAGCACATACTATTTATCCAAAACAGCCTTGCTCAGACACCACAGCCTTATCTAGTCCCTTCCCAGCTTGCAGCGGATGAGCAGAGTCTTCTTTCCGGGAGATGTCAGTCTTCACTGGGAATGGCAATACTTGTGTTGATATAGGATGATTGGGTATGGGGCGCCTGCCTGGGTGGCTCAGTCGTTAAGCGTCTGCCTTCGGCTCAGGTCATGATCCCAGGGTCCTGGAATCAAGCCCCGCATCGGGCTCCCTGCTCTGCAGGGAGCCTGCTTCTCCCTCTCCCACTCCCCCTGCTTGTGTTCCTCCTCTAGCTATCTCTCTGTCAAATAAATAAATAAAATCCTTAAAAAAAAAATAAAAAGGATGACTGGGTATAAGGGACTCAGGCTTGATCTTTTGCTTTCTCAGTGCTACTGGAAATGATGTCTGGGGACAGCAACTTCAATGGCTGTTAAAAACACAAATTAATGGGCTTCATGCAGACCTAGGGAGTAGTGATATCTGAGTGTGGGGGCCAGAGAATCTGTTTTTAATGGGAACCTCAAATGGTTTGTATATACATGAAATTTTTTTAAGTTTATTCATCTAAGCAATCTCAATACCCAACAAGGGACCTGAACTCATGACCCCACAATCAAGAGTCACATGCGCTACAAACTGAGCCAGCCAGGCGCCCATATATATACATGAAATTTTGAAAAGCAATATTTAGAAAATTCGTTCTCCGCCTTGGCGTCACATCAGGATCCCTTGTGTAGATTTTAGAACTGCAATCTCCAGGGTCCCAACCCCAAAGCTTCTGTCACTTAGTCCTCAATAATGCCTAGCATCAATTAAGTCTTAATGACACGGCCCAACTTATTCCACTGTGAGGCCAATGTAAACACTGAGGCTCCCAGGTACAATTCTGAGGACAGAGCACAGGGTCTCATCAATGGGGAAGCCTCCATGGGGAGAGCTGCTCTATGTAAGTTTGGATCGAGGAGGGTCAGTCTACCCCACATTCCTTATGTTGTAGCAGAATTTGTGTGTGTCTACAGGAGACAAATGCACCAAAACAGAGAGAGAGAGAGAGAGAGAGGAGTAAAAGACATTGGGGCCTCCACTTGCAAACTCCTAAGTGTACAGATTTTCATATGCCTCCACAATCAATGGAATAGCAATCAGATCACATATTCCCTCACTGGCCATGGGGAGGGTTTTGGATTTCACTGTGAATGCCATGGAAGACACTAGAACAGAAGGTAAGTCCTTAGAGGATATAGGAGCACATGAAGAATGAGACAGGAGCTGTCCCTCTGTGACCACCAGAGAAATAAATCTTGGCTTCCAGGATCATTCCATTCAAGCAGAGCTTCCCAAAACACATTTTATTTTTCTAAAAGGTTTATTTATTTATTTGAGAGAGAGAGAGAGCATGTGCGAGTGGGAGGAGAGGTAGAGGGAGAAAGAGAATCCTCTAGCAGTGGGGCTGGATCCTAGGACCCTGAGATCATGACCTGAGCCGAAATGAAGAGTTCGACACCCAACCAAGCCACCCAGGGCACCCCAGACCACATTTTAAGGCTATGTTTTCTCCTTTGGCCCCCACCTGTGTCGCCTGCTTCATTCATTCCCACCTACCTGGGTGTGTGGCTACCGTCTCCTTTCCCTTCATGTGCCTGCGCTCTTTCCTTTTGTAAAGAAAAAGAACAAATACAGCCTAGAGATAGCAAGACCTACTTATAAGAAAAGGAAGCATGACTCTTGCTGGAGAATCTTCAATTTGAAATCCAGCACGATGCTCGGTAGAGAAGAGAGCACATTACAGAAGGATGTAGAAAATTATTTCTCCAAACGCTCTTACTGATGGCCACTTTAGAACACTTAGGAAGCATTTTCAATGTTCAGCTCCTTAACTCCACTTCCAAGTACTACTGAATCAAAAATAAGGAATAGATGTCTAATTTTAAGATTCTATGCCAGTTAGTTTCTAGAATTATCACTAATCTAGAGTGAAGATTACGGATAACCTCAGCAGATGGGAACATTAAAGTCAAGATAAAACATCATGAATACTTCCTTCCTTACACCAACAAAGCCTGATTATTTCCTTGAAATGATGTCATGTCATTTGTGATGAGTTACAATATAGAATTTTAAGAACTTGAACATATAGTATTATACTATACTTCTTTCCTCTTCCTGAAAATAGAAAAGTAATAAAGGAGATAATTTCTGTAATGCTATGCAGGATGAAATGGAAAATTATGAAACCAAGGAATAATTTAGAACCTTTACTTGCAAAGAGTTGGATCTCCAGAAAACAAAAGTGAGAGCCTTCATTTTTCTTTTAAGATTTTTATTTATTTATTTGACAGAGAAAGAGACAGCGAGAGAGAGAACACAAGCTGGGGCAGTGGGAGAGAGAGAAGCAGGCTTCCTGCTGAGCAGGGAGCCCGACGCAGGGCTCGATCCCAGGACCCTAGGATCACGACCTGAGCCGAAGGCAGACGCTTAACAACTGAACCACCCAGGCGCCCTGAGAGCCTTCATTTTCTAAGGGAATCTGGCAGAGAGACCCTGAACCAAGTGCACAAAATATTAGCTGTAATGAGACAAACTGATTTCAGTGGCCTGAAGCACAAAGGACTCATCACTGCGACAGTGCTTACAAAAATAAAAAAAAACAAATCTTTATATGATTCCAATCATGAAAATATAGCATATTTCTGAAATTTCAAGCCACAGATTGCTCCCATGTCCTGTAATCTTTAATATATTTTAAATAGTAAGTCTTTTCGTTGAAGCAATCTAGACAGCAAGTCTTTTTCAGAACGTTGACTTATTCTGGGCCTGATAACTGGTTTATTTGTTCATCTAGTTTCCATAGACTCAGGCCTCACCCAGACAGAACCTCAATATTATATATTCTCCTCCTTTACTGGGATCCCAAAATCTAACCCATCTCCAGTGAGAATCTTGGGTATCAACACATCCCCATATTGATCTGTCACAGAGGGAATACTTTCAATAGTTGCAGGTCATGAATTCATGATAGGAATTCGTCATGCTGCACAGAAAACCCGGCTGGAGAGAATGGAGAGACAGCCCGGGGATAATAGAGGAATATCCTAAAGGGCTGACTTGACTATCATTAAAAGAATAAATAGTAGTCCGAAACATATTTACTAGGCAGGACCACCAAAAGTAGAGAAGTGAATGTTTGCAAGTTCTAATACATGGCCTTTCAGTAAGAAATGAAGACACTGCCCTAAGCTAAGTCAAGACAAGATTTACCCCAGAAGCAGCCCTTTCGGCCTCTCCCTTCTGTTCTAGGTTTCTTTCTCTATCGATATTAGGTAGAGAAATCACACCTGTATGCCTTTAAAGGCCTCAACATGGCCTCATTACCTGCTATCATCAGCTCAGAGGCAGAAGGATCTTGAAATGCACAAAAGGCCGCCCTCTCCTTTGTCACAGGAAAGATTCAGAAAAAAAGGAGCTCCTATGTGGACACTTGCGTGTGAGTTCATCCTTCCTGGTTTCAGATGTCCTCCCCTCCCATAGAAAACCAAATCCTGCCACAGCACGGGGAACGTGGGCTGCACGGACCTGCCCCTTCCAATTGCAGACCAAACAGTCTGTTAGCTTCTCTTCACCAGAAAGCCAGACTCTGCTCTCACAAGTGTGTCTGCGAATCCTTGGGCTTCACCCTGGTCTACACGAGAAGCACCTGAAGCGCATAGTTAAAGCAGCACTGATGTTCTCACCCTGACCAATAGACAGACTCTGGCAGAGGGCCCAGGTGATGGTGGTTCTTAAAACTCACCCTGGAGGGGGCACCTGGGTGGCTCAGTTGGTTAAGCATCTGCCTTCAGCTCAGGGCATGATCCCAAGGTCCTGGGATCGAGCCCCGCGTCGGGCTCCCTGCTCAGCGGGGAGCCTGCTTCTCCCTCTCCTACTCTCCCTGTTTGTGTTCCCTCTCTGGCTGTGTGTCTCTCTGTCAAATAAATAAATAAAATCTTTAAAACAAAAACCTCTCCCTGGGATCTTTACTGTAAATCCAGGCTGATAAACGATGATGTGTTTCACATTTCATTGTGCACAGAAATCATTCGGTGTTCCAGGTCCCACAGAAGAAATGGTGATTCTGCAGGTTGGGAATGGGGTCTGAGAATTGGCATCTTTCCCAAGTACTTGTTAGTGCTGATGCTGTTCCTGGGGACCCTCGTTTAGTGGCGACACTAGAGAATGCAGGCACAGCGCACCTGAGCCCCCCACACCCACCATCTACGTCAACACAAACAACTCCTGGTGAGTTCCCAGGAAAGAATTTACTATTTACTTTTCACTGTTGTGAGTTTATTGTTGGTCCCAGGAAAGACCTCCATCACTGCCCTGAAGGACCACATGCTTTCATAGCACTTTACAGTTTATAGAAAGGCAGCTCGTGAATGCACTAATGTCTGAACAAGTCTCTATTTGGAAAACAACGTGTATATATTGATTACTGCAATGTTGATTGAGCACTGATTTTCTGTTCACAAGGAAGTTATGGTGCACCGTGTGGGCAACTTCACATATATGATGTGATTTCATCCCCATAATACCCTGTGAGCTGGGCACTAGGTGTCCTATAATAACCATGAAGATGCACAAACTGGGCCCCACTTATGTGCTTCATCTTTTTCCCTATCGATTAAAAAATAAAAGTTTGTATATTACAGGAGCGAAATATGGATGAATGGAAAAATAGAGAAAGGAAGGGTAGATTAGTAGTTCCAAGAGTTTTCTTTGTTGGGTTTACATGTTTTTAACAGGATAGAAAAATGTTTGAGTTTATAAGCAAATGCCAGTTTTCCTCTACTTTGTATACTCTCATTAGCAATATAGGATCATTTTAATTCCTCCACATTGGTGTTACCAAGTTTGTTTTTCCCTCAAATCTAATTATTCTAGCAAATAGGAGGAGTCATTTTCCTGTATGTTTCCTAGAAAACATCTCCCTGTTTTCTAGGAGTGGTTAAAGAAAATGTGCTATATATATTATTTAACATGATTTATGATATAAAATATGTATTATAGAATATATATATATTTTAAGATTTTATTTATTTGACAGAGAGAGAAACAGTGAGAGCAGGAACACAAGCAGGGGGAGTGGGAGAGGGAGAAGCAGGCCTCCCGCTGAGCAGGGAGCCCGATGTGGGGCTCGATCTCAGGACCCTGGAACCAAGACCTGAGCCCAAGGCAGACGCTTAATGACTGAGCCACTCAGGTGCCTCTGTTATAGAATATATTATGTATCATAAATAATTTATTAAATATACTATAATATCTATCTATACAAAATTCAGCCTTAAAAAAGGAAGAAAAACATCCTTCCATTTGGACAATGTGGGTGAGCATGGAGGATTTTATGCTAAGTGGAATAAGCCACACAAAATGGCAAATACTATCTCAATTATATCCTAAATCTAATAATCTAATAATCTAATCTAAATCTAATAATGTTGAACTCCTAAAAGCAGAGTAGATGCTAGGACATGGCTGAGGGCAAAGTGGGAGATTTTGGTCAAATGGTACAAAATTTCAGTTATGCAGAATGAATAAATCCTGGAGATCTAAAGTACAGCATGGTGACTACACATAATTCCATGTCTATTATACTTGGCATTTGCTAAGAGAGTATATCTTCAATGTTCTCAACAAAAATTAATTTAAAAATCAGAAATAAAAAGTCCTAACACTATGAGATTAATTAGCTAGATTGTTTTAATCATGTCATAATGTATACATAGATTTATGTTTTGTTACTTGAGCAACTACTGAATCTGCAGGAATGGAAAACAGGATTCTGGGTAAAAGGTTGGTGAAGCACACGATTTCATGATAAAAAGAGAAAAGAAGGCACTAAAATATACAGTCGTTTCCTTCCATGTATCAGCTTCTAGGTTTTGGGAATTGTGAGCACCAGCCCTGGAGAGATGAAAGGAACAGCCACTCCACTCAGAATCTGATCTCCTCTAATCTGTCCTGGGAAGGGAGGAGCTCCAGAGCCAGGCCAGACCTGGACACAGCCTCAGAAGGGGGTGGATCTGGTTTGGGCTTGGGAGGGAGCTGGCTGTAGGCTCTGATCTCCCTGCTTCTGGGGTATGTCTAGGCCTGTCATTCCTAAGCCTTCCCAGAGAAATTCAACACCCAGAGTTCATACTGTTTTAATCTATTTAGTCTCATTCCTATTTCAGAAAATAAAATAAAAAGCAACTTAACATAAACACTTAGCATTTTCAGGGGCAATTATATTATAAAGCTTTTATTCTTACAAGAATGCAAAATAAATGTTACTGCTACTAAAAATTCTTTGGTCCATGGATGACCCATCAAAGGTGACACCAGAACTCACACCACAACAGAGAGAGGGAACTGGCCCAGCTGAAGCAAAGCCCCCTGTATACCACCTCTTCCTCACATTGACTCCACAATCCTGAATTCAACAATTTGCTCTAACCTAAAAGTTCCTGGATGGTAGGCATCATGACTCTTCATCTGTTTTTCTAATGACTGAATGCCATGGAAATAATCAGGTTCTATCTGTTTGCATCTCTACACTTGCTCAGTCAGTGTTCTTTACCACAGTATGAGGAACCTGGAGTACCTCCCACCAGGGTACCACAAAGGAGATTCCTTCTATGGAGGGAGGAGAGGACCCTGAATGACTCATTCTTCTTTCTCTGAGATGGAAGCAGATTCAGATTGTGATGCCAGTCTAACCCCAGGCTACATCGGACATTCCTAAATATTCCAAAGAGTTCCTGGTTCTGAAAAGAGTGTCCCCAGTGAGACTGAACTGTTGATGCCCCCATAGGGATTCAGGGAGCAGAAACCTTAGGCCATCAGCTAGGGCATAAACCTGTCCTGGTGGATCAGTATCCTCTGATGCAGGTGTGATGTATCCTGTCCCTGGGCAGTGATCTCTGCAGTAAGAAGCCTCTACCTCAGTAACATGGGTTACAGGTAGTTGTAGTTGTGGTCATGATTCTAGATATTTTGTGGGTCTTAACCTTGCACTGTTAATGGATCTTCTCCCTTCCTGAGGCTGTACTAAGGCAGGACCTAGTGTGGCAGGTTTTAAGCCTATGCTCATTAAAACTTACAGATTTGGCATTGATGATCAGGAGTGCCAGTTTGTTGAAGGACCATCAAACTTGTTAACCATCTTTGTGGAACTGCCTTCACAAGATCACACCCAGGAAAATGTTAGGCAAATATAACATCTCATATTGAAAGATACCCATTCAAAGATATTTTGGGTATCTCTGCATTCTTTCAGGAGACCCTGTGACATTACTGACTGGACTCTGATCTTACCTCCTGGGACCATTAATACATCATAATTGTATAATTAATTAAAATAATAATTTTAAAGGATTCATTGTATAGCTACAGTTACCTATTACTAGAATAGATTCTCTATATTATTCTCAATTTTACCTACAATGTCACTAGCTTGTAAGTGTACATAACACTCTGAGGCATGAATATATAAATGACTGACATGGAGGAAAACAGACTCCATTTTCTCCTGAGATGAGGAAGTTTTCTAATTCATCCAGGGTACAGAGGAAGACCTGGATACTGAGCGGTCATCACTAAGGAGAATAAAGGGGCAGAGAATCTACACATTCAATGCAATCCCTATCAAAATAACACCAGTATTTTTCACAGAGCTAGAGTAAACAATTCTAAAATTTATATGAAACCAGAAAAGACCCCAAATAGCCCAAGTAATGATGAAAAAGAAAACCAAAGCTGGAGGCATCACAGTTCCAGACTTCAAGCTATATTACAAAGCTGTAGTCATCAAGACAGTATGGTACTGGCAAAAATAGACACAGGGGCTCCTGGGTGGCTCAGTGGGTTAAGCATCTGCCTTCGGCTCGGGTCATGATCCCGGGGTCCTGGGATCAAGCCTTGCGTTGGGCTCCTTGCTCAGCAGGGGAGCTGCTTCTCCCTCTCCCTCTGCCTGCCACTCCCCCTGTTTGTGCTCTCTCTCTGTCAAGTAAATAAACAAAATCTTTAAAAATAAAATAGACACAGAGATCAATGGAAAAGAAAAGACGACCCAGAAATGGACCCTCAACAATATGGTCAACGAATCTTCAACAAAACAGGAAAGAATATCCAATGGAAAAAAGACAACCTCTTCAACAAATGGTGTTGGGAAAACTGGAAAGCAACATGCAGAAGGATGAAACTGAACCACTCTTTCACACCATATACACAAATAAATTTAAAATGGATAAAACACCTAAATGTGAGATAGGAATCCATCAAAATCCTAGAGGAGAACATAGGCAACAACCTCTTTGATTTCAGCCACAGCAACTTCTTACTTACTAGATATGTCTCCAGAGATGAGAGAAACAAAAGCAAAAATGAACTATTGGGACTTCATCAAGATAAAAACCTTCTGCACAGCAAAGGAAAGAATCAATAAAACTACTAGGGAACCTACAGAATGGCAGAAGATATTTGCAAATGACATATCAGATAAAGGGCTAGCATCCAAAATCTATGAAGAACTTATCAAACTGATTAATCAAAAAACAAAAAATCCAGTCAAGAAAAGGGCAGAAGAGCAGACATTTCTCCAAAGAAGACATACAAATGGCTAACAGACACATGAAAAAAATGCTCAACATTACTCATCATCAGGGAAATAAAATCAAAACCACAATGAGATACCACCTCACACTTGTCAGAATGCATAAAATTGACAACTCCAGAAACAACAGGTGTTGGGGAGGATGCAGAGAAAGGAGAATCCTCCTACACTGTTGGTGGGAATGCAAACTGCTGCAGCCAATCTGGAAAACTATGGAGTTTCCTTAAAAAGTTAAAAATAGAATACCCTATGATCCAGCAATTACACTACAGGGTATTTATCTAAAGGATATGAAAATAGTGATTTGACGGGGCATATGTACCCCAATGTTTATAGGAGCAATGTCCACAATAGCCAAACTATGGAGAGAGTCCAGATGTCCCTCTATGGATGTTGGTTAAAGATGTGGTATATACAGGGCGCCTGGGTGGCTCAGTTGGTTAAGCGACTGCCTTCGGCTCAGGTCATGATCCTGGAGTCCCGGGATCGAGTCCCACATCGGGCTCCCTGCTCGGCAGGGAGTCTGCTTCTCCCTCTGACCCTCCTCCCTCTCATGCTCTCGGTCTCAAATAAATAAATAAAATCTTTAGAAAAAAAAATTAAAAAAAAAAAAAGATGTGGTATATACATACAATTGAATGTTACTGAGCCATTAAAAAGAATGAAATCTTGCTATTTGCAACGATGTGGATAGAGTGTATTACCCTAAGTGAAATCAGCCCAGTCAGAGAAAGAAAAACACCATGAGTTCACTCATATGTGAAATTTAAGAAACAAAAGAGATGAACATAGAGGAAGGGAAGCAAAAATGAAGTAAGATAAAAACAGAGGGAGGCAACAATAACTTTTTTTTTTAAGATTTTATTTTTATTTAACAGAGAGAGACACAGCAAGAGAGGGAACACAAGCAAGGGGAGTGGGAGAGAAAGAAGCAGGCTCCCCGCTGAGCAGGGAGCCTGATGTGGGGCTCGATCCCAGGACCCTGGGATCGGGACCTGAGCCGAAGGCAGACGCTTAATGACTGAGCCACCCAGGCGCCCAAGAGACTGTTAACTACAGGGAACAAACCAAAGGCTGCTGGAGGCGAGGTGGGTGAGGGATGGGGTAATTGGGTGATGGGCACTTGATGTAGTGAGGGCTAGATGTTATAAGCAACTGGCCAACTACTAAATTCTACCCCTGAATCTATTAACATGCTATCTGTTAACTAACTTGAATTTAAATAAAATCTTTGAAAAAACAGTCATTCTAAGAAAAATGAGTAAAGGGGATGGCAATTTGGAAACATGTTGATTAAGAACAAGTTGTTCACTTCCCTCCACATAGTCTAGTGAAAAAGAGAAAAATTACAATGATGGAAAAAGGAAGGATACAAAAAATTACAACAGTGCTTTCCAGGACAAAAATGCCTGGGGTAGATATTTTCTCAGGAGAGGTTCTTGGTGTGGTATTGGTCTGATGCAAGTGTTAGCCCCCCGAATGTGCATGCACAGAAGAAAATCAGAATGAGTCCCAAACAGAAAACATAGGAGGTACATCTGAATGCTGCATAAAGTAAATCTATGTGTTCCTCACAAAGTATAGCAGAACAGGATCCAAAGCCTACAATGTTTGTGCATATTTGTTGTACTTCTTATCCCATACATACATAGGAACTGTGGTATTGACCAGCTCAGGGAGGATCCAGCACAAGATATTGGAGGGGCCAATTGAATGTGGGGCTGTTCCTTAATGCTTTGCAGACCTGGAGTTTCTGGGACTGATGGTGATGGCTTGGAAGACACTCAAGGGGCCAGAATTATCAATGGACAGACACATCTCTGGACTCTCTGTGCAACTAGAAAATGAGTCTGTGTCCAAAATCATGGAGAAAATGTTTCAAATCAAAAGCTGCCAATGTGTCTGAGATTCCTCTTGAAGAATGACCAACACTTGGCTACATTCAGATGACTGAGAAAAACCTCTCAAACTTGCCCTGGTTCCCGTCTAGTATGGGAAATGATGACATAAGAGGTAGAACTCCTCCAGTTTTCCAGGGAAAACCTAGACCAGGAAGATCATTCCCAATGTCAAATACTCAAATGCTAATTTCCAGGGTTCAATATTTACATTCACATGCAGAACAATCAGCAGGGAAACATGAGTTGTGGGCCATGTTTTTCATGAAAAAATGAAATCTACAAGGTTGGCCAAAGTCTAAAGTCATTCTATAGTGTTTACAAGATATGGCCCAGTGTTACTAATGTTTTATTCTAATGATTTTAATGTTCATGATTTTATGCTTTTGGACTATTATTCCTTTTTTACTGTGTCATATAATAGAATACATATATAATCTGACTGCCCCTGATTTTGGCACAAAGCTAACATTCTTTTTTTTTTTTTTTTAAAGATTTTATTTATTTATTTGAGACAGAGAGAATGAGAGACAGAGAGCATGAGAGGGAGGAGGGTCAGAGGGAGAAGCAGACTCCCCGCCGAGCAGGGAGCCCGATGTGGGACTCAATCCCGGGACTCCAGGATCATGACCTGAGCCGAAGGCAGTCGCTTAACCAACTGAGCCACCCAGGCGCCCACAAAGCTAACATTCTTGTAAATTCCCAAGTGATAAGAGCACTAGGAGTATCCATGTTCTAATATTTGTCCTTGAACTCTCCCTGACTCAGGGCTGCTAAAACTCTTTTAATTCCTAAATGATAACAGCGCTAGGAGTATCTCTTATTCTAGGGAAGTGGCTCTGGGTGGGATCCTGGATGCGAGGTGGCCACCAGAAAGACCAAGCCATGATCAGCAGCTTGGAACATCAGTTTCATCTCCCCAAACCCTTACTTCGGAGAAGGGCTGCAAATGGAGTTATGACTGCTCATGTGTACATGAAGAAGGCTCCATAAAATCCCAATAGTATGGATTTGGGAGAGATTGCAGGCTGGTGAACACATCCACACAGGGAAGGTTACACACCTAACTTCATAGGGACAAAAGCTCATGATTGTGGGACCCTCACAGACTCACATTATGTATCTCTTTATCTGGCTATTCATCTGTATCCTTTATCGTATCCTTTAATAAGCTGGTAAACATAAGTGTTTCCCTGAGGTTTGTGAGATACTCTAGCAATTTAATTGAACCCAAGAAGGAGATTATCAGAAGTTCCAATATATACCTGGTCATTCATGTGTATAGGTAACAGTGTGAGCTTGTGAATAGGGTGTGAAAGTATTTTGGGGGTGGGGGCAGTTTGTGAGACTGAGCTCTTATCTGTGGGACCTGAGAATATCTCTGGGTAAATAGTGTCCACATTGAATTAAATTGCAAAACATCCAGTTGGTGTTGGAGACTTGCTTGTTGCTGTGGGGAAAGTACCCCCAACCCATATTTGTGACCAGAAGTGTCAGAAGTAAAATGCTCTGTGTATGTAGTAAGAGGGACACAGAAGACATATACATAAAGGAAAGAACTGTGTTTAGCCCTTCATAGAAAAGAAACAATAGGTTTTTTTTTTTTTTACAACTGACCAAAATAGTTTAGTTAAAAAAGGTTTAGTGATCATCTAAATATCAGTTGAGTCAGCACTTGAACCTGGGTACCTACAGCAACAAGAGGCATTCAAATGCCCTTCCAGAAGACCTGTTCTTGGATTCTCTCCCATTAGACAATCAGTCCTTCATCCAGAAGACTTCACATAGAACAGCTTCCATGGTCTGAGACATGAGAGTGTAAGTTCCAGCCCTGCACACACACATATAGCCTGAATATGTATTTAATTGACGACTGAAAAACAGATACGGCAGGTCCAGCTTCCAGAATTAAAACACAGAAGCCTCGCCTACACGTGACCCACTTTCACATCTGCAGAACCAAGACCAGAGTCCACTTAAAACAATTCATGCTCATCTCTATATCTGACTGCGTTCTTCATGGGCAAATATCTTCACTGAAGATGACAACCATAAGGAGGTCCCCAGAGTGTCATTCTCAAAGCAGGTTCCCAAAACAGGCCCCACTGGCATCACTTGAGCACTTGCAAGAATGGAAAATTGGGGGTGTCACAGCCCAGCCCAGAACTATTGAAATGATAATATGGGAGGAGGCCTAGAAATCTGAGATTTTTACAAGTGTTTCAGATGGTTCTGATGCAAGATATGACAGCCTCTGCAATAACTAAGTTACAGGTCATCCCTGAATTAGGCACAGATAAGTCCTCTTACAAATCTTCTATATTTATGGTGATGTTAGTGGTGTGACACACACACAAATACACACAAAACACATTTTTCTTAGCCATAAATAAATCTGACTCTAACACAGTCTGTTATGGCTTCCTGGTCTTCCAGGTCTTACTTCCCTCAATGCCCTCCTCCAGCTTCCTGGGATCACCCATAAATACAGTTCTCATCACATTCTTTCATCAAAATAATCCAACTTAGAATGAATTGGTATGTATTCAAATATTTCATCAAATAAGATAGGAAACACATAGAGCCAAATGGTAATGTTATAATTTATAATGGACTTGAATATACAATTCTCACTATGAATCGGCATTTGATGATTTTTGCTGTAAGAGCATAAATAACGGGATGCCTGGGTGGCTCAGTATGTTAAGCGCCTGAGTCTTGATTTCAGCTCAGATCATTGATCTCAGGGTTGTGAGATCCAGCCCTGTGTGCTTGATTTCAGCTCAGATCATTGATCTCAGGGTTGTGAGATCCAGCCCTGTGTGCACCCTGCTTAAGATTCTCTCTGCGTCTCTCCCTACTCAGGCGCAAGCTCTCTCTCTCCCCCTCTTAAAAAAGAAAACAAAAAGAAGAAGAGCTTAAAAATGATATATGTAAATTATAGAGTACACAACATAAAAGATAGGATTTGAGTTATTGGTGACATAAAGACGGTAAGGGGGGGCAGAAAAAGTAGGAGAATTTTGTATCTTACTGACAATATCAAGTTAAAATGGTTTGTTACAGCTTTGAGAGGTTTTAAGTAATCTCCAAGGTAACAGGAAAAAAAAAACTATAAAAGACATAAAAAGGAAATGAAAATGGTATCAAAGCTGTCATTACAAACGTCAAACAAACATAATGGAACACAATAAGAGAGGGAAAGAGGGATAAAATATCCTCAAGAAGTATAGAAAACCAAAATCACAACAGCAATAGTCCTTCTCTTTCAGTAATTATGTTCTCGGTAAGTACATGAAACTCCCTCCATTAAAAGGCATAAAATAGGGCGCCTGGGTGGCTCAGTCGGTTAAGCGACTGCCTTCGGCTCAGGTCATGATCCTGGAGTCCCTGGATTGAGTCCCGCATCGGGCTCCCTGCTCGGCAGGGAGCCTGCTTCTGCCTCTGACCCTCCCCCCTCTCATGTGCTCTCTCGCTCTCATTCTCTCTGTCTCAAATAAATAAATAAAAAATCTTAAAAATAAATAAATAAATAAAAGGCATAAAATAAGGGCACCTGGGTGGTGCAGGCGGTTAAGCATCCAGTTCTTGGTTTCAGCTCGGTGTGATCTCAGGGTTATGGGATAGAGTCCGAGTCAGCTCCACACACAGTGTGGAGTCTGCTTGGGACCCTCTTCCCTCCCTCTCTGCCCCTCCTCCCCTTCCCTGGAATAAATAAATAAATCTTAAAAAAAAAAAAGTGCCATAAAGTTGCTGAGTGAGTAAAACACAACATCCGACAACCTCCCATCTACAAGAGTCACATTAAATCTAAGGACACACATAAGATACAAGTCAAAGTATGTAAAAGCACATTTCATGCAAATGGAAAGCAAAAGAGGTCACGGGTAGCCATATTACTATCAGACAAATACACATTAAGTTCATGGAGTGTCAGTACAGAGAAACGACCATATATGTAAAGAAATTACCTGGATAACAACAACTATAATAACGTGTGCACGTAACATCAGAGATCCCATGTATGTGAAGCATCCAAGACAGAACTGAAGCAAGAAATCAACAGCGTCACGATAGCAGCAGAAGTTAATACGTCAATTTAACTGGATAGAAAGACCACACTCAAGCCCATTAGGGAGAGAGCACTTGAACAACATAAAAGACCGGGTGCCTGGGTGGCTCAGTCGGTTAAGCGACTGCCTTCGGCTCAGGTCGTGATCCTGGAGTCCCGGGATCGAGTCCCGCATCGGGCTCCCTGCTCAGCGGGGAGTCTGCTTCTCCCTCTGACCCTCACCCCTCTCATGCTCGCTCTCTCATTCTTTCTCTCAAATAAATAAATAAAATCTTTAAAAAAAACAAACATAAAAGACCAATTACATATAATGGCATAAACAGACAACTCCATCAAGCAAGAGCAAAATATACAATCTTCTCAATCACACATGGAACATTCTCTAGTATAGACAACCTGTTTGCCTACAAAACAAGTCTTAACAAATTTAAGAAGATTAATATCATACCAGTATCTTTTCTGACCACCGTGGAATGAAACTAAGAATGAATAGCAGACGGGAAATTGGAAATGCCACAAATATTTGGAAAGTGAACAACATGCTCTTGAAAAATCAATGGGTTAAAATGAAATTTAAAAAATAACCAGTAAATATCATGAGACTGATGAAATGAAACAAAATATATTCAAACACATGGAAATCAGATAAAATAATTATAAGGAAACACTCAGTGGAGTTTAAAGGCAACCTGAGAAATGGAAGGTAATTTGTCACAGAGTCTCTAGAGCATAAGGATTTAATATCAAGAATATAGAAAGAACTTTTGCAACAACAACCAAACAGCAACTAGTATTAAGAACTGGACAAAGTTTTCAGTGGGGACAACTGAAGGAAGATATACAAATGGACAAGGATATGAAAGATGCTTAAAATCACTATTCGTTAGAGAAATACAAATCAAACAGTGAGTCATCACCTCACACATGTTCAGATCCCACTAGTAAAAAAACAAAAAACCTACTTGTGTTGGAAAGGATGAGGAGAGATTGAAACCCTTATGCACTGTTAGAGGAAATGCAAATGGTGCAATCATTATGGAAAATGGAATAGAGATTCCTCAAAACTTTTTTTTTTTTAAGATTTTATTTATTTATTTGAGACAGAGAGAATGAGAGAGACAGAGAGCACATGAGAGGGGGAGGGTCAGAGGGAGAAGCAGACTCCCCACTGAGCAGGGAGCCCGATGCGGGACTCGATCCCGGGACTCCAGGATCATGACCTGAGCTGAAGGCAGTCGCTTAACTGACTGAGCCACCCAGGCGCCCCCTCAAAACTTTTAATGCATATTATCATATGACTCAGCCAGCCCACTTGACAGTATATAACCAAAAGAATTCAAAGTAGGATCTGCAAGAGATATTTGCATAAGCGGATTCAAAGCAGCATTATTCAGAAAAGCCAATAATAAATGAAAGCAGCAGAAATGTTCAAGAATGCATAAAGAAAATGTAGATATACGTGCACTAGAATAATACTCAGCTTTGAAAAAGGAGACACATCTTGTCACTTTATACATGGTTAAACGTGATGTTAAGTGAAATAAATGAGTCACAGGAACAGATACACTATGATTTCACTTAAGTGACTGACCTAGTGTCATGAACAGCATGAAGGAAGGAAAGAAGGGAGGGAGAAAAGAAGGAAAGGAAAGAGAAAGAGAGAAAAAGAGAATGAGTGCCCGAGTCTTAGAATAGAGACAAATGTGGAAGTGACTGCTTAACAGGTATTATGTTTCAACTCAGCAAGATGAGAAAATCCCAGAAATTGTTTTTCCAATAATGTAAATACACATAACACTTTAGTTATTACCAGAGACAAATTTTATCTGAGTGACCCATTTGTATGACAGGGCAAACATCTAATTACCAAACATCTGCTGTTCGTCTTATTGCTCCGTGAAGTGCATTTCTCCACTTCAAAGTGCCAGACCCTCCTCCATTTAAGGATCACATATATATACCTCCTTTTACCCAACTGTCTTTGAGATTTCCATGTCTGGGAAGGTTCCTTCTACTTATGAAATTTAATTTGATCTATCCTGTTAATCTGTCACATTTCAATTGGATTCTTAGTCCAGGAAGAAGGACCTTGAAGGGAACAGAAATTCATACTCCCTGGCAGGATCAACACAAAATTGATCTAATGAAGCCAAGCATTGATCTTGTCAGTTCAGATGTAAGAAAGCAAACTACAGGTCATATATTCCCAGGCACAGCTGTTCCAGACAAGGGACATGTAGCCTAGGCTCAAGACATAGGCATGTGACCCCACTAGCTTACAAGTAGTTAATCAGCACTAGCCTACAGATATAACTACCAGATGCAACTAATGAAATCTTTAACATTAAGAAACATTTTTTCTGATTTAAAGTCTTTTTTTTTTTTTTTTAAGATTTTATTTATTTATTTGACAGAGAGAGAGAGACAGCAAGAGAGGGAACACAAGCAGGGGGAGTGGGAGAAGGAGAAGCAGGCTTCCCACTGAGCAGGGAGCCTGATGCAGGGCTCTATCCCAGGACTCTGGGATCATGACCTGAGGCGAAGGCAGAGGCTTAACAACTAAGCCGCCCAGGCGCCCCCTGATTTAAAGTCTTTTGAGTAGAATACACCTCTGGGGTATAAGGTAAAGCGGCAGCAGAAGGTATCAATTAACATCTGCTAACATGGCCTCATGGGTCTATAATTTGTTTTTTTGTTTTTTTCCAGTTTCACCTTAGGGCACAAAATTACACCACTTGTATTATTTGTGAGGAGTTTATGACAATAGAATTGTTCACATTCACCTCATTCTAACAATAAGGCAATGAAGTGCAATGGAAGGCTGAATTCTAGCTGTAATGTTTTTTTGTAATAACATTTTCAAATATACTTAAATATAGAGAGGTTTTTATGACACAATTTGATTTTCACATCAATGAAATATTAATATAAAATACAGAGGAAGAATAATTCAATTTGTACTGAAATAAATATTACATGTACAAAGCACATATAGTTAAAATGGGTCACAATAAATGAAAGTGGAGACATCATTTTGCTCGGTCACTAAAGAAAGCTGCTGACACTTCCAATCCTACATCATCAAATTTAATTATTCTTGCTGATTTAGAACACAAAACAAATACAGATCCCAGGGCTTAACTTTCAGAGGTTACATAAATCACTACAGTGATCCAATTTAAGGTCAGTAGGGACCAGTAAATCACAGCATGAAAGTGAATGAGTCCTTTTTCCATTAGGGCTGTCAGGCTAGGATTATTATGTTACTAGATTTTCTCAAAAGGACTTCACATTTTCTCAAATATTCAGGAGAAATATATTTTCCCTCTGTGCCCTACATTAACACTGATGTGCTTTGGTCTTGAGTATAGAAGAATGATGAGTTTTAAAATTTCTTTTTTTTTTAATTTTTTTTAAAAGATTTTATTTATTTATTTGAGAGAGAGAGAATGAGAGAGAGCGAGTACATGAGAGGGGGGAGGGTCAGAGGGAGAAGCAGACTCCCTGCTGAGCAGGGAGCCCAATGCGGGACTCGATCCCAGGACACCAGGATCATGACCTGAGCCAAAGGCAGTCGCTTAACCAACTGAGCCACCCAGGCGCCCCTAAAATTTCTTTTATAAATTTATACAATCTGGATTGTATTGGCCTGAAGAGTGTAACTGTCAAACTTGTACAATAATTGTTATTAAAAATGGATGCAAGAGAAGTTATTAGGAAATGCGGACATACTATATATACAAATTGTTAGTTTAATATATTCCATTATATAGAGCACCAGAAGTATGCAATTATAAAGCAAAGAGTTTGTTAGGACTCTAACATTAGTCACCCTTTTACATTTCTTCTGATTAGACACATCACAAAATGTCAGTTGTCTAAGACTTGACCCATTTGGTCTCAACCTACGAATATATATGTAAGCAAAAATTCATATCAAAAGCAATTGCTCTATTTTATTTATTTTATTTTTATTTTTTTTAAAGATTTTATTTATTTATTCATGAGAGAGAGAGAGAGAGAGAGAGAAGCAGGCTCCCAAGAAGCAGGGAGCCCGATGCGGGGCTCGATCCCAGGACCCTGGGATCACGACCTGAGCCGAAGGCAGACGCTTAACCATCTGAGCCACCCAGGCGCCCGCAATTGCTCTATTTTAAATGTACAAAATAAAATTTCGAATTAAACTGTCATGAGCCAAAAATATAAAAAAAAAAAGGAGCTTAGTTTAAAAGGACTGTGCATATCCAAAAGTTACCTTTAAGAAGACTGTGATGGAAAATGTGAAATGACTCTTGAGTATGGCACTTTCATTTTGCAATGAGAGAAATAAGGCATTTGACTGGGAAGACCTCTCTTGGTAAGTAACTTAGCATGTGACAGTTTCATCATAACCTCATTTTGTTGAGGACTAGTCCTCTTCTGCTTATAATACTTTACAGAATCTGAGAGGCTTTGTGGTTCTGATTCTGTGCTTGTGTTGTTGAAGTTGTTTTTTTGGATAGCAATGGGAAACGGTGTGTCTGATATATCTACCCCCTTGCAGCCCATTAGGGTGCCTGTTACAAAACTGCTTGGTGTTCAGTTACTACTCTATGAAAAGGAAGGTGAACAATTCATGGCCACAATATACTTTAGAGTCAGGAGAAGCACAGACTGCAGATGTGTGGTACAGTTGCATCTGCCTCTTATAATTTTAAAATTCTCCACAATGTTGCCAATTTAAATCCTTAATACATTCTGTAGAAATTCTGGGGACTCCTGGGTGCCTCAGTGAGTTAAGCGGGGATCGAGTCCCACTTTGGGCTCCTTGCTCAACAGTGAGCCTACTTCTCCCTCTCCTGTTCTCCCTGTTTGTGCTCTCTGTCTCTCTGTCAAATAAATAAATAAAATCTTAAAAAAAAAAAAAAAAGGAGATTCTGAATGAATCCAAAGACAAAGGACATTAGCTCCTCTCAATTGACTGGAGAACTTTCCTCTAGCATCCAGCAACCATCCCACAGGGATTCCCACTCATGATACAAATAATTTAGGTGCTGCTCCATCAGGGGAAACATAGAAGAATCAGCCACTTAGCATGCTGAGCACTTTGAATTCAGGCAAGTTAACTCCAGAGAAAACCAAGACACAAAATACAATCCACCATCTCCAGGGTGACACCTGAAGGAGCAAGACCACTCAAATTAGCACATTCATATACAAATAAAACCCCATAGGTAGTGCTGGGCATCTCAACCCACTAGGATGGAAAATAAACAATCACAATGGGGAAAAAAGTGATGGAGAAAGGCCTTCCAACAATCTGGTGAGATTGATGTTTCACACACATACATTACATAGTTTCAAGTCTCTAAGTAAACAGAAAATTATACTAATGATCTTAATGCTGAGGTGGCTTAAATGAGGACCCCTTGAAATAATTAGTGTACTTATGCATCATCATCCAGAGAGCCAACTATTAAGCTAAACAAATCAAGTGTGATACCTATTTTGACTACTACTTAGGACCTTTTAAAGGAGACACTGAGAGGATAGGAACCATGCAGGAAACAAATAATGGACTTTCTGAAATAGTGACAAAAACAGAGCGAAGACATGTCAAGTACGGGACAAGTACTTCGCACTGCTGCACCTTCTTTTTATACTTTAAATAGGATGCCAGGAAATGAGGCATTAAAATTAAATCCTCTGCCAGGGAACAAGAATACTTGTCCCCTCTAAGGTCCTTCTAGTTTGACTAAGAATCAAATTAACATGAGACAGATTACCAGGAGAAAATCAAATTAAGTATGTGTAAATACAGGGAATCCATATAGACACAGAAATTCAAAAGACTGTCAGGCAAGATGAGGTACAAATGTCAACCTGAACTAAGGAAAAGACAGTAAGGGCCTGGAGCTTCACAGGAAGGGAAAACACTTCACCGGGCAGTAAGAAGAGCAGATATTTGTGCTTACAGATGAGTCACTGAGGTAAACTGTCTCACTGTTAATAACTCTAATTCTCGGAAAGACGCCCCATTTTAGATTCTTCTCTGTGGTTAAGGGGGGGAGGGAATGTTTTCCTGAGTCTGCAGGTTTTTAAGTGCCTTCAACTCAAATTATCCGAAGGCCAAACTGGCACATTGGGTTGGGGGGTAAAGAAGGGGCGAAGAAGCTGTCCTTAACCCCTTCAGTTCCCCCATATGAAACTTCCTTGGGACTTTCACGTATTAAAAGTTGACCTGGTAGATTGCTTCATGTCACTGATCCAGGACTTTCCTCCAGACAATAGGTCAGTAAAAGTCAAAATCATTTCAGGAGGCAATGATGCAGGTCTATGTTTCAAAGTTAGCCCAGGGGTTCAAGTAAGGTTATTAAATGAGACATTGGTATGAAAACAAATGAACTCTACTTAATGATTAGATCAAATGTTAAGCCAGGTTCTGATTTCTTTTTTTTTAAGATTTTATTTCTTTATGAGAGAGAGAGAGAGCGAGCGAGCGAGCATGAGCAGGGGGAGGGGCAGAGGGAGAGGGAGGGGCAGAAGAAAGAGAAGCAGACGCCCTGCTGAGCAGGGAGCCTAGTGCGGTGCCGGGCTCGATCCCAGGGCTCTGAGATCACGACCTGTGCTGAAGGCAGACACTTAACCAACTGAGTCACCCAAAGCCCTGCCAGGTTCTGATTTCTAAGGGTAGCCAGTTGAACAGACTTCTAGATGATGCATTGGAAATATCTTTGGATAGAGTGAGAGTAAGTAAGGGCAAACTGACAGATGTTCCTTGTTTATTTTTCAAATGCATCTGGTAATACTTTGAGTGGACCATAGAGACACATCACTAACACTGTCTATACATGACCTATCATGACGATTTCTTTACATTAAGATATTTATATTAAGTTTGCAGAGCTACAGGAAAAAAGGCAATTTTAGTTCTAAAATGATTCCATATAAGAAAGGTGGGAGAAATATCAAAATGTTAGGGGCACCTGGGTGGCACAGTCCATTAAGCATCAGACTCCTGGTTTTAGCTCAGGTCATGATCTCAGGGTTGTGAGCTCGAGCCCCGCATCAGGCTCCACGCTCATCACGGAGTCTGCTTGGGATTCTCTCTTCCCCTCTCCCTTTGTCCCTTGCCCCACCCAACCCTCTCTAAAATAAATAAATCTTTAAAAAAAAATCAAAATGTTAGTTTGGGGACTTAAATCCTGGCATTGGAGGAGTCTAGAAGAAATCAGGATGTAGGCCAGTTGATGATGAATAGTATTAAAATCTAATAAATATAAACATGTTACTGAGACATATTTTTCTCTATAGTCCTCTCCATTTTTACCAAAGATAGCCAAACTAACACTGATTTGATTGCAAAGGAAGCCTAACAAAAACACTTGTCCTGGGGGCACCTGGGTGGCTCAGTGGGTTAAGTGGTTGCTTTTGGATCAGGCCATGATCTCATAGTCCTGGGTTAGAGCCCTGCATCAGGCTCCCTGTAGGGTGGAAAGCCTGCTTTTCCCTCTGCCCCTCACCCCTCTCCTGTGCTCGTTCTCTCTGTCTCTCTCGCTCTCCCTCTCTCAAATAAATAAAACCATAAAAAAAACACAAAAAAACAAAAAACCTTGTCCTGATTATTTACATAAATGCAGGAAGAATAGAGTTTAACCTATCAAATCTTTAAAAATGGCTTTTCTGGAACTTTTCATAAGAAATCTCAAGAGTGAACACTCAATAGCCTCTCCACACCAGGAGCCATGCCATAAACTTGCCACCAGACTTTGCCTACAATAACAACAGATCTGGGTAAATTCCTCTCTTCATGAAGACCCCTGACTATCCATGGGTTCCTGCATCTCTTAGGAAATTACCTTCTTTGCTCTCCTGGTAAGGCTGCTGGGAACTCCGTAAACAAGGTGTCAGGTTGATATTTCCAAGGGGCCTTTATTGGCCCCATAAAGTCAACGTTAGTCCCTTATAGCTGTCATCATATCTGAGTCTATGCAGCTCTTCCTCAGCTATGACATTCTAGTCAAAGCCTTGGTTATATAACCAGTGTTTTCAATTGTGTCTCCTCCCAATGAAAACAGATTCTTATTGAAATTGCAAATACATATATTCGCTAAAATATAATAGTTACTCCGACTTTCTGGATTCTGGAATAATCAGGTAGGGAGAAAAGATAAATATTTCAATTTGTTTACAAGGGTATATTTTATGCCCTGGTGCAAGTCAGTTAGGAGAAAAGTCTACTTGGGGCACCTGGGTGGCTCGGATGGTTGAGCATCTGCCTTCGGCTCAGGTCATGATCTCGGGGTCCTGGGATCAAGTCTGGCATCCGGCTCCCTGCTCAGTGGGGAGCCTGCTTCTCCCTCTCCATCTGCCCCTCCCCCTGCTTGCGCTTTTACTGGCTCTCAAATGAATAAATAAAATCTTTTAAAAAAAAGTTTTCTTCAATCTGTAAAAAACAAAACATTTAAAAGGATTTTTTTCAATTCCAGTTAGTTAATATACAATGTAATATGAGTTCCAGGTGTACAATAGCGACTCAACAATTCCCTGCAACACCCAGTGCTCAAAACAAATGCACTCCTTGATGCCCGTCATTTATTTCACCCATCCCCCAACCGACCTCCACTCTGGTAACCATCAGTTTCTTCTCTATACGTAGGGTCTGTTTCATGATCTGCCTGTCTTCTGTTTTTCTCTTGGCTTGTTTCTTATATTCCACATGAGTGAAAATATATGGTGTTTCTCTTTGACTTCTTTCGCTTAGCAGAATACTCTCCAGCTCCATCCATGTCATTGCAAACGGCAAGATTAAATTCCTTTTTATGGCGGAGCAATATTCCATTACCCCACCCACCCACACATACACACAATGTCTTCTTCCTTCATTGATCAGTGAATACTTGGGCCTGAATGTTTGAACAGAAATGCTCACCACCACTGACTGCTGAACCGCTCCTCCGAGAAATCCATGGCACAGAGCCAGAGAATGGGACTATACCCACAATGGGGCTGACTGAAGGGAAGAAGGTCCTGCAGAGCAGTGCATCAACTTTCACGCAATGCCACCCATCTACGGTGGATCTAAACTTGATTGGGGTTACACACCTGGGATACCAGCACTTGGGTGCACCCACAACACATGCCTTGCTGATCCTGCCTACACAACTCTCTAAAAGGCTTCTTCATCTCTCAAACCTACTTTACCATGGGGTATTTTTTTTTTAAGGGTTTTGTTTATTTGAGATAGAGAGAGAGCATGAGAGGGGGGAGGGTCGGAGGGAGAAGCAGACTCCCCGCCGAGCAGGGAGCCCGATGCGGGACTCGATCCTGGGACTCCAGGATCATGACCTGAGCCGAAGGCAGTCGCTCAACCGACTGAGCCACCCAGGCGCCCCTACCATGGGATATTTTTTTATAGACTTTTAATTAATTAATTAATCAGAGAGAGAGCACAAGCAGGGGAAGCGGCAGGCAGAGCAGACAGAGGGAGAAGCAGGCTCCACGCTGAGAGAAGAGCTCAATGCGGGATACGATCCCAGGACCCTGGGATCATGACCTGAGCTGAAGGCAGACGCTTGACTGAGCCACACAGGCGTCCCCACCATGTGATATTTTAAAGCTACGCCCAAATGATTACATCATCCAATATCCTTCCTCCATCAATTACCACTGATCTAGAACTGGGCAAACAACAGTCATCGTCGTCATCCAAAAGAATCTGGTCCTCAGTAACACCTAGGAATTCAATTAAATCATGAAAACACAGAAGCCCCCTACGCTTCAGAAACCCACATTTGCCAAAGCCTTATGTCCATTATATTTATTCATCAGAAGACACCACCAAGAGCTGCCTTTGCCTTTGCAGTGGCTAGAGGGGAACCACCTCTATCTGGTTCCCTCCCCGCATTGGAAAGAGTTCTTCACATTTTTTTTTTAAGATTTTATTTATTTGAGAGAGAGAGACTGCATATGTGGAGGGAGACAGGCCAAGAAAGAGAGAGAAGCAGACTCCTTGCTGAGCAGGGAGTCCGACGTGGGGTTCAATCCCAGGACCCTGGGATCATGACCCGAGCGGAAGGCAGACGCTTAACCAACTGAGCCGCCCAGGCGCCCCTCACATTTTCTTTAATAGATCTTATCTTTCTCTCTAAGGATGGTGCCATCATTGTGTTTTACAACCCAGTGTTAAATGTCTGAATACCCATTGGCCTTCCATTTCTCTAATCTCAATTCAGTGTTTACTTAGGAAACTCTAGCCACAGCACAAGCGAAGAAGAATGTTTGTGATGCCTAAAGAGCTGGAAACAAAACTGAGGATAGAACTGGAGATCTGGAGATAACTAGGAAAAGAAGTAGAAGTTATTTTTCTAAATCCAAGGAGTCAGTTGTGCAACTCAGGAAAGGTATCCTCTCTCCATATGCAGAATTCATGCCAATTCTTCATCGTCTGTATTTTCTACCTCTTACTTGAGGCTATAGTATCACTCCTATTGGAATGTTTCTCCTACTTATAGGGTATCTATTACACACCGAGCATTAGTAAGAGTGTATGCTTACTTCATAGAAAAATCAAAACAACACCCCCACATATGAAGTGGGGCACATACCTTTATTTGGGGCCATGGTACAGTGCTTTAACATCCCAAGACTAAGTCCAGATTGAGTCATTCAAACTTAAAACAGGTTTAGGTAAGCTCTGTGGGGGTCTGTCTTCTCTACAGGACACATGAGGGAAAGTCAAGGTAGTCAGGGGACATGTTTGCTCATGAGGGTGGACTGGGGATGTGAACAGAAGTGACTCCGCAGAGTGTTGTCTAGAGAACACACTAGTGAGAAGGGCAGGTGTCAGTTCAAGGCCCCTGCAAAAATACTGCCTACACCAAGGGGATGCCAAGTAGCATTATTATGGAGTACTTGTCAATAAGACCCCCATATAATCTGTAATATGTCCATGATAATATCCCACTATTTCCTAAGAGGAGAAAATGATACAATAGATAAACTAGGGTAAAAATAATCACACATTATTTAAACGTTAAGGACAATTAAAAAATGGATGACTAGGTATATTATTCAACTCCATTACCAAATATGTGAGATTCCATCAGTTACCTACAACCTTTAGATAGGTTAACATTGGTGGTAGGATAACACTTCATTCATTACTCATCCATGGTAATACATTAAAAATCAATTATTGTTTTATTAAGACCACACATGAACTAAGTTATGAATTTCAAATGCACTCCGATCCTTATTCAAAATACAGAATCCAAATGTTAAAAAGCACTCATATGCGGATATAATGATGTGGAAGTAGTGATTTCCATAATTTTCAGGCATGAGGTCATTCTTAAAAAATTGGTATATAATTTGTGTACATATAATTATATACCATTTTAGGGAAGAATTAGCTGTCCTCTTTCTAATATCTGTGGAGATCTCTTCATTTCAACCACATCAACCGACATTCTCTACTTGTAACAATAGCTTTATAAGGATACATCAGTATTTTACTGGACTGCCACCTCTTTTTCCTCAATAACCAGATGGTAAAATATTTTATTTATAATATCCAGGAAGTTCTTTAGCTTTAATAAAAGAAGAATGTTGTTCTGAACACCTCTTTCATGAACACTGACATTAATGTTATAACCGCAAAAAGCATCTCCATTTAGATTTTCTTCATATATTGTATATTATATTGCCCTTCTTCTTCCATGGACAATTAGATATGTGAGTCCCAACAAATGAAGAAGGGCATCTCGTATCTTTGATACAGTGACAATCAGCCACATACTTCACACACCCACTAGGAATAAATGAATTTCATGAAATGATTTGAGAGTACAAATACATTAATATTTGCTAGTCACAAATCCCAGATAGGATCAATGAAAAAAAAAGCACATATTGAAATTAATTATACTTATGTAAAAATCCATCCACTTAAACCTTTGAAGCATAATAGCACATAGACTAAGTGTTTAACTTTATATTATTCCTTATAAGGAATATTTTTATGTAACATCTGAATAGATTAATTCCTATACTGCCTTCTACTTGATTTCTGTGATACTGACATTTGATGTTCACTTACATACATTTCTAAATATTTACATCTTTCAAGTTACTCTCATTTATGTACTCTCTGGTGTTTGCTACAGTGAATATTTAAAATGAAGGTCTTTCCTCATTCATTATGTTTCTAGGGTTTGAATCTAGGATGCATTTTGGGATACTGAGTATAGACTGAATTCCAGTTAAAGGCACTGCAACTTTGTCTGCATTTTACAGTTTCTATCCTGTATGATAACTAAGATGTTGAGCAATTTGTGAATTCCATCTAGAGGCTTGCGACACTCCTTATATTGTAATCTTTCTCCTCAGTAAATGTGCTGCCGAAGTGAGCACTCTTTCTCCTCAGTATAAACTCTGAGATACAGAAAAGGGTTGAGCAGTTTAAAAGTTTCCCATGTTCTTTACATTTCTAACTTTTTCCCCAGTATGAATTCTGTGATGTTGAATGAGGCTTGACCTCTTATTAAAGGCAATGCCAAATTCTTTGTATTTGCAAAATCCACTCCAGCATACATTCTCTGATCAGGAATCAGGGTTTAACATTGCTTAAAGGCCTTGCCACATTCTTAACAACTTTATGACTCCTCTCCACTATGAATTCTCTGATGTGGAGTAAGGGGTGAGTAGTCTTTAAATGTCTTCTCACATTCTTTTACATTTGTAATGTTTGTTCTACTATGAATTCTGTGGTAATGAGTAAAGGTTGAACAGTGATTAAACGCCTTCCCATATTCTTTACTTAGGTATGGTTTCCATCATCAAGTATGAGTTCTGTGATGTTGACGCAGGTGTGAGTGCTGGATAAAGGCATGGCCACATTCCTTACATATGTAAGGTCTCTCTCCAGTATGAATTCTGTGATGTCGAGTCAGGTGTGAGTGCCGGTTAAAGGCCTTTCCACATTCTTTGCATACGAAAGGTCTCTCTCCAGTATGAATTCTGTGATGTTCGGTAAGCTTTGAGTGCTGGTTAAAGGCCTTGCCACATTCTTTACATTGGTAAGGTCTCTCTCCAGTATGAATTCTGTGATGTCGAATAAGGTATGAGTGCCGGTTAAAGGCCTTGCCACATTCTTTACATATGTAAGGTTTCTCTCCAGTATGAATTCTGTGATGTTGAGTAAGGTTTGAATGCAGGTTAAAGGCCTTGCCACATTCTTTACATATGTAAGGTTTTTCACCACTGTGAATTCTGTGATGTTGAGTGAGGCTTGAGTGATGGTTAAAGGCCTGGCCACATTCTTTACATTTGTATGGTTTCTCTCCAGTATGAATTCTGTGATGCTGAGTAAGGTTTGAGTGCTGGTTGAAGGCCTTGCCACATTCTTCACATTGGTAAGGTTTCTCTCCAGTATGAATTCTCTGATGTCGAGTAAGCATTGAGAGCTGGTTAAAGGCCTTGCCACATTCTTTACATTGGTAAGGTTTCTCTCTAGTAGGCATTGGTTGATGTTGAGATAGTGTTGAGTGCCAGTCAAAGGCTTTGCCACATTCTTCACAAATGTAAGTTTTCTGTCCAGTAACGGCTGTGTTATGTATGTTTAGTCCTGATGCTTGGCTAAACATGTCCCCAGGTTTATTACATCTGTATGAGTTTTTTTCCATGTGAATTCTCTGATAATCACCAACATTGGAGGACTGGTTAACAGATTTCCCATATTCATTATATTTATAAGGATTCTCTCCCAAAGGGATACTCTTATATATAATAAGGTTGGAGCTTTGATAAAAGACTTCCTCAAATTTATCAAAATTAAAATGGTTCTCTGGAAAATGAGTCCTCACAGGTTTATAAACATTTGAACACTGGTTAAATTTTTTTGCAGATTCGCTACATTGAGCAATTCTGTTTTCATTGAATATGTTCTGGTAATTTTGTAGAGTCAACTCCTTGGTGAAGGACCTCTCAAATGGATCCCACATAGCACTTTGTTCTTCATTTTTAAATCTCTGATTTTCAGAAATATTTGACTCAAATGTCAATCCAATCCTACTTTCAAAATGGTTCAAATAATTATTTTCAGCATGAACTAGATAACTTTCCAGATTTTCCAACTTTTCGTTCTCCAGATACGTATGTTTGACCATTTGATTTAAGCCCTTGCTTAGAGAAACAAACTGCTTTGCAGAAGAAGCAGGATTAAGAAGGGATGTTTTCCAAAGTGTTTTATATCCTTCATCATTTGGGGTAGTGAGATTCGTATTATGGACAGTTGTCTCAGTTTGGATATGTCCTTCATGATATCTTTCATGCCCTTCACTCTCCCCATCATTTTTCCAGTCTATCATTAAGTGTAAATTGTCAAGGGCACTATGTTTATATCTACCCACTGCCACGTTTTGGAAAGAAGCTTCTATGCACAGCTTTGGCAGGAAACTCTGGGTGCCATGTGAAGATACAGCTGAAAGATATTGAATAAGAGAAAAGTAAAATCATTCCACTTACTATTCTCAGATGAATATAATGAAAGCTTCTAATATGGAAAAATAAAATCAATCAGAGAACTTCAGCAAGACGGCCGAGAAGGAATCATCAGGACTTCATTCCTCCAGGGACACATAAACTTGCAGACATATACCCGTAACATAGCCTAACATACAGTTCTGTAATCTTGTCATGGTGGAGCACACATCACTTTCCTATACCTAAAACATCAGGAAAAGTACCAATTGAGCCTAAAATTAGCAGCAGGAACTAAATTTAAACTTAAAATACAAATAAAATAAGATATAGCAAAAACAGAAAAATATCAACAATAGGAAGAGTTGGTTTGCAGAAAAGAGCAAAAGCATTGACATACTTTTAACTAAATCAAGTAAGAATGAAAGAGAGAAGACCAACTAAAATCAGAAGTGAAGTGAAAGCAGACACAGTATAACCGATACCATAGAAATAAAAAAATTATAAGAGGTGATGATGGGGGCGCCTGGGTGGCTCAGTTGGTTGAGCGACTGCCTTCGGCTCAGGTCATGATCCTGGAGTCCCGGGATCGAGTCCCGCATCGGGCTCCCTGCTTGGCGGGGAGTCTGCTTCTCTCTCTGACCCTCCCCCCTCTCATGCTTTCTGTCTCCCATTCTCTCTCAAATAAATAAATAAAATCTTTAAAAAAAAAAAAAAAAAAGAGGTGATGATGGATAATTATATGCCCAGAGATAGATAACCAAACAAGGTGTATAAATTTTTTAAAAAAGTACAACCTACCTGACTCCATCATGAATTTAAAACAAAACAAAACGAAAACCCTGATCTCTCACTACTGAGTAGATTGAAAAAGAAGGGGAAAAAAAAGCCCGACAAAGAAAAAGTCCTGTGCCAGATGAATTCACTGGATAATTCAAAGTAATGAATTAGTAGAATTAATGAGAAAGTACTTCAAATCCCTCCAGCATTTCCAAGAGGTGAAGAGAAGGGAAATTATCAACACTCTGTGACAGCAGAATTACCATGTTAACAAAGCCAAGGAAGATACTGTAAGCAAAGAAAACTACAGATTGCTAAATTAAAGAATAGCCATGTAAATGCCACAATAAAAGGAAGCAGACCGAATCAAAAGCACATTTTCCTATTTTACAACATAACCAAGTGAGAATTCTTCCTGGAATTCAAGTGTTTCAATATGCCGAAATCTACAAACTTAAGATTGCACATTAATAGGATGAAGATCAAACATGGCATCATATTAATTCATGTAGAACAAGAATGTGAGCATACGGGACACCATTTCATGATTAAAAATACTCAATAGTAGGAATAGAAAGAAACTAACCCCACCTAATAAAGGCCATATATGTACAAAAAGCAGATATCTAACATATTTGATAGTAAAAGACTGAAAACTCTATAATCAGAAACAAGGTAATAAAGAGACTTCCTCACTTCCAGATCAACATAGTACTAGATATTCTAATCAAAACAATTAGGCAAGAAAAAATACATAAAAGGAATCCAAATGAAAAGAGAAAGAAAACTATCTCTGTTCACAGATGACATGATCAATAGAAAACCCTAAAGAGGGGCACCTAGGTGGCTCAGTTGTTAAGCGTCTGCCTTTGGCTCAAGTCATGATCCCAGGGTCCTGGGATTGAGCCCTGCATGGGGCTCCATGCTACGCAGGAAGCCTGCTTCTCCCTCTCCTGCTCCCCCTGCTTGTGTTCCTCTCTCGCTGTGTCTCTCTCTGTCAAATAAATAAATAAAATCTTAAAGAAAAAAAAAGAAAACCCTATAGAATCCTTATTTTCATTTTTATGCTCTTTCATTTTTTTATCATCACTTATATTGTTTATTTCTCCCAATTTTCCCTAGTAGACATTCCATTTTTTAATTTTCTTATGCTTAAATGCTTAAGAAAAAAGGTTCAGGGGTGCCTGGGTGGCTCAGTCCTTAAGCGTCTGCCTTCGGCTCAGGTCATGATCCCAGGGTCCTGGGATCGAGCCCCGCATCGGGCTCCCTGCTCGGCGGGGAGCCTGCTTCTCCCTCTCCCACTCCCCCTGCTTGTGTTCCTGCTCTCGCTAACTCTGTCAAATAAATAAATAAAATCTTAAAAAAATAATAATAATAAACACAGAAATTATGAAATATGCTCACTGTTCCTTTATATAAAATAAATATCTGGGACTGGGGCGCCTGGGTGGCTCAGTCGTTAAGCGTCTGGCTTCGGCTCAGGTCATGATCCCAGGGTCCTGGGATCGAGCCCCGCATCCGGCTCCCTGCTCGGCGGGAAGCCTGCTTCTCCCTCTCCCACTCCCCCTGCTTGTGTTCCCTCTCTCGCTGTGTCTCTATCTGTCATATAAATAAAGTCTTAAATAAATAAATAAATAAATAAAATCTTAAAAAAAAAAAGGTTCAAATAAGCAACTTAATATTATACCACCACGAACTAGAAAAGAAGGAACATCACTGATATTTAGATGCGGAAGGAAGTAACAAAGAAAAATCAGAAATAAACAAAATACAGATCAGAATAAATAATAACATAACATTGAAAGTAATGCAGTCTCTAGCAAAATCCAAATGCCAATTTTGGCAGAAAGAACAAAACCCCTCCTAACATTCATATGGATGTCACAGGATAACACATACCCAGAACAATCTTGAAAATGAAGAGTTCATTGGTGGCACCTCAGTTCCTGATTTAAAACATATTACAAAGACACAGTTAACAAAATAATGAACTATAAAGATAGGGATAGACTAATGGGAGAGTGTGTTAATGTGTATGACAATTAACTGAAGATCTTGTTAAAATTCATATTCTAATTTGGATTTCTAGGTTGGGTCTGAGTTTCCATATTCCCCACAAGCTAGCAAGTGATGCCAACATCTTAGTTCAAGAGCCACAATATTAAATTAAAAAAAAAATAGAGGAAATCATGAATGATTTTGAACTTAGAGGATATTGTAGAAATTACAACTTCTAACATCAAGAACAGAAACAATTCTTCTTGAACATATACTACCCACTATGTAACATTCTAACATTTTTTCAAAAATTCACCCATGAATCCACACTAACCTATGTGAAGAGTAGAACTGTTCATCTTTCAAAAAAATATCTTGGCAAAACTTCAGTAATAGTAGAGCCTGAGTTTTACCCAGATTGTCTGACGTTGAATTCGTGTAAGAGGAACAGAGACCAGTATACAGAGGCACCTCTAAAAGAAGGTTCACAGTAGGTTGCAAAGTGACAATGGGAATGCAAACATGATTAAATCACAGAACATATCAACTAAAAGAGGTAAGGCTAAAACATAACACAGAAAAAATTACAAATAAAAATAAAAAGAATAAAAATGATAGATCAAAATGTTTTTATTGTCCTTGAATCTAAGAAATGTCTTCAGGGGCATAAAATTTACAAATCTATTTGTGGATGAAGGGTTTTGTGTCTTGCAAACACACCACAGAGACAAACACACAATGATAGAAATGAAATACCTATTGTTTTGGAGTCTCTTATAGTATTGAAAGTTTTTGCTCATTTACCTTTGTGCCGAGTTATATTTTAAAATTTTAGGGCAGTGGAACATAGATGATGCATGCTTTCCTTCTACAGAGCAACAGAGAAATGCTAAGGAAGAGTTGGTCTCAGGAGAGAGACTTCACTTTGAAAGCAGACTACAAAGTGAAACAGAAGGGAGTTTCCAGATTAAATGAGATGATTTATGCACGTCTTTCAGTAAATCCTCCCAAGGTATGTGATGATAACTGAGAAAAATTACTAATCTTATAGCGGAGGAATGTGACATACAGGACAGCGGAAATGAAGTGCATGAACCTGTAATGGGTCACACTGGTGTCAGGTGCCTAAGGTTCTTCAAAGGAAGCATAACAAGTGCTAAGAAATAAATGTCTAAAACAACAACTAAGTAAATCATAATCTAAATGGAAACCTGAAAACATCCATTTTATTCAAATATCAAGTCACATATAGGACCCAGACACTGTAATCTGGAATAGTATATGTAAACTATGTCTTTCGTGTGTGATCACAGGCTTTCACGGGCTCCTCTGCATTTTGATCAGCTCAATCACAGAGGCTTTTCCAGAGACCCAGACATGGGAGGTTAACCGATGTACAAGAATCGTGGAACACTCATCTCCTGTAGGTACCCTGCCCTCACTTCATAATGTCCTCAAGGGTTCCTCAAACACTGTGGGATTTCTCCCCTGGAACACAGATGGACTGGGAGTTTTGATACAAGTCCTAGTCCTCATGTTGACCGATGTCCTCTCCAATTTTTGTCTCTCAAGGATGATGTTCTTCTATTCTAACCTGCGAGGGCCCATAGCAAGGTACATCTGTGTACAAACGTGAATGATCTAGGAGCGCCTGGGTGCCTAACTTGGTTAAGAGACTGACTTCAGCTCAGGTCCTGAACTCAGGGTCCTGGAATTGAGCACCCGGTGAAACCCCATGTGGAACCCCGCATAGGGCTCTGGGCTCAGCAGGGAGTCTGCTTGTAACTCTGCACCTCCCCCTGCTCTCTAATAAATAAATAAACCTTTAAGACAAACAAACAAACAAACAAACACAAAGTCATTGATCTAGTCAAGTGGAAGAAGAATAGGCAAAGTTCATTTAACACCAGGGCTGAATCTATGGCTCAAGGCCTTACCTCATTTATCTCTCAGGTTTAACCAAAGAGTGATAAAAATGATTCCTTTCTAGGTGGTGGAGAAAAAGGAGGAGGAGGCTCACCTCACATGGGAACCAAGAGACTGAATCAAGGCTGCATGGAATCCAGCTTCAGTTCAATGAAGAGCACTAAATATACTTAAAACAAAAACAAAAAATACTTCTGTAATCTGAAGCACCCTACCAGTTCCGGGCAGTCAAACCTTGAGAATGTATGCTCTACACAAAATTCCAGGTCTGCATCAGAGAAGATGAACAAAGAGTCC